TAGCTGTAGTTATCACATAATAATAATAATGAATTTATTGCATCCTTAGAAATAATTTCCATTGGTTGAACAGCAATAAAATGTTAGTAATAAAGTGCAATACATATAAAATTAAAGTAAAAGTAAAATGTCAGTTATTGTTATTTCTGCAGTTCTCAAAAGCAGTTGTAGTTAGCAAGGAATGAGTTCCTTTATTACCAGACATCCCTAACCCTACCCTCCAGCACTGAGCACTTCCCCTGTATACGCCCTCTCCTAAGGACACCTGCAAGGTATCTGCATTGTACAAACAGCTGCAGTTATGCAATCAAAATGTTGCAGTTTTAAAATAGCTGCAATAAAAATGAGTTTATTTCATCTCCAAAAAAGTTGCAGATGTATAATAATACTGAGTGAAATTTCTTACCAGTTAGCATATCGGAATATTCCCTTGATGTCTATTTCCCTGACAGCTGCATTGACAAGTGGGATAGTAGGTTCCAATGATCCCCTGCCTATTAGTACTACACAACCTCCAGACTTGCATGCCTAAATCAAAACCATACATTGTACATATAAAGAATAGTTACACAAACACCTGATATGAGTTGTTTATAAAACGTATTCATGTAACATCACTTATTCGTAGAGCTGGTAAAATGAGCGTTATATTCACAGATGGAAAGCGTATGGATAATACAGCCATGGCGCCAAGTATCAACCAGTTCTATGAATAAGTGACGTCACATGAACTGTGATTGCAAACAAAGAAGTAATTTTATGCAAATATGTTGCCAGTTGGCCATGTTGAATCTGAACTGAAAAAAACCAAAATGATCGACACGCATCAAAGTCCAATTATCTTCAATTTGTGTACCAAATGTTATCTTGATAATAGAAATGTTTGCTTTTCATGATTTTTTAATTTTAAAATGGCCGTGATTTAACCCTCTTTGAATTGGATCATGAAACAAATGAATAAATGTGCACATGTGTGACATGATGTGTAACAAATAAGTAAAGTTTATTGCAATCAGTTAAGATAGTACTCCAGAACTAAATGGCCTTTTTTTT